AAAGGAGTTCTCATCAAGAATATAAAATTAATTCTTAAAAGGAAAAGGAGCATGTTTTGAATACTTTTCCACATGAGAAAGGAATGTAGAGGCAGTCGTACCTGTGATAAATGCCACATAAAGCACCCCACCATTCTTCATTCAAACAACAAAAGGGATCCATAAGCAGTGCATATGTGTCCTGTGTTTCACCAGGACAGGACTTGCAATCCCCGGTACTATGACTGTACTCTAACACACAAAGTCGTCCAAGAAAGGTAATAAGGTGTTATGCCTTCTTAGATCCCAGGAGTACAGCCACCCTCACCACCAGCACACTCATGAACCAGCTGAACATAAACGGCACAAAGGCTGATATTCTGCTATTCGCCATGGGTTAGGAGACGCTGGTGTCTAGTCACTATCGGACTGGAGGTTTCTGAGCTGGGGGAAAACATCTTCAGAGAGCTCCCAGTGGTCTACACACAAGAAGCAAGTCCTGTCTCAAAGATTGGCGTTCCCTGTCAGTAAAATACTGACAAATGACAATATTTGGACACTATTACAATTTCACAATTGGATGCTGGCATTGGGCTTTTGATAGAGACGAATGTACCAAAGCTTAATGAGCCGTGAGAGATTGTTAATAGCAAAAGCAAAGGATTTCATGCCATAAAGAACCTGCTTAGATGGATCATAAATGGGAAAATGAAATCTCCCTCATCAGACTGGATACACCGTTTGTATCCCAATATAAATTCAACGAGATTGCACTGGTAGAGAAGCATGAAGTGTTACCAACCAGGTTTGCCTTCGCCTGAAAATTGAACACAAGATTAATCTGTGAGTTTGACCGATTATGTATTTAAGTTTATTTATTACAACAACCATAGGCATTAATGTTTTCTATTTACCCTCAGATATCCTAAATATTGGAATTAGGAAAGTCCAGACCAACTGGAAGTTTCCAATATATTTTAATCGCACTTTCTGACGTGTTAGCTATCTATGATATTGCCGGGCTAAAAAAATTATACACAGCCTGTTTTTAAGTCATATTCAAGTCATGTCTTAACTTTAAATTGTCTTTGCATTAGCATTAGCTAAGGTATGGTACATATCAAAAATAAATTAAAAACATTAATAAAAAACAGCAGTGTACTCAATGGAAACTGTTTTTCTATAGGTTTTGTATGTATAATACCCGCTATTATTTTTGGACATTTTTAGTCATTGTCTGCTGAAAATAAGTAGAGTGAGTCAGTCTCACTTGTTGATTATTCTTCAAAAAGGATTACAATTTTATATCTTTTATATCTTCTATGTTTGAAACCTTGAAATGTGGCAAGAGTCTAAAAGCTAAAAGTGGCTAAATAGTTTCATTAGGCACTGTATCTGTTATTGGATTATTATTAGTCAAAATGTTGTCGTAGGTATGTGAAACAAAATCATGATTTGTCAAAATTAAGTCGAGTACATATGTACATCATCTTTCAAAATGTAATTTTATCATTTGCAGAATAAGTTGCAGCCTTTTCTGTTCCAGGACTGATAAACTATTTATTGCTTTGTGCATTATTAAACCAGTCACCAGTCAATCACTTCTGTTTTTGGGTGACCATCAGCATGTGCTTGGGTGAATGATTAAATGTGCTTCATTGCAAAGTACTTTGAAGTCCTTGGACTTAATAAAGAACTATATACTGTAAGCACAGGCTAGGCACAGACTGGCCATCAGAAGAGGTGGGAAAGTTCAGGGTGACCTGGCATGGCTGCAGACCTGTTCTCATGTGTTACATACTGGGTAGAACCAATAGCTCTGTTCTGGTTGCACTTAATAAAAAAAAAAAGAATAAATAAATAAATAGAGGTCGTGTATTTATTTTGGGTCTCTGCTTTGCTGAATCCCCCACAGACTGAACAGCAGGGATTAGGAAAAAGCAGACACACCACCTCACCCCCTCCTCTCTGTTTAGGAGGCACAGGACAAGTTAAGAGCCCTCCATTCATAGCTTGGAGCAGGAGAGATGGTGTACATGAAAGAAGGAGTAGAGGGATAGAGAGTATAAAAGGAAGCGAGAATTGGCCACAAAATCCTGTAAAAATTATGTTTTCGAGCAGGTAAGAAATAGACAACATGGCAAAAACACCAGCAGAGCCTGTAAAGCACAGCTAGCTTAATAAGGAGGTTAGGGGACTAAAACTTTAATATTTTACATTTTAAAAAAGATAATGCCAATTTTAGAATGTTGTTAAGATGACTATTATATATAATTTAAATTCAGTTAAATCTAGACTTTTGTATAGCTTGAACTAATAAATTCCTATAATATTATTTAACTATTAAAATTGTTGTATTGGATGGTTTCATTCAACCATCCTGTCAAGATTAGGAGCATATTTTTGTGATATAAACCTTGCCAGAGTCTATTAATCATTAGTAAGTAAATTTGAATTAACGGGTTAATTTCTGTTTTCTGGTCGAGCAGGAACCTTTTTGTAATATTTTGAGTCAGGATTGTGATAGAAACCATCAGAAGTTTATACTTTTCACCTTTAAAAATAAGTTACTGTGGAGGATTAGGAGAGTCACTGAAAAAGAAAATCAACCATTTCAAATTTAACATTTGTATCATATACATAGAAATCCCATTTGAAACGCATTTTCCAATTGTACATTTTAAATTGAATTATCAAAGAGAAACTGCAAATTGTATTTATTAATCAGTTATTAAATACTGCAAGTAATTTCAAATCCAATTTCAAAATCAATATTGAAAAAAAACCCAAAATGATTCAGATTTTAAATACCTTTCCTAATCACATATATGATATCTTTTTTTTCATGTTCTTTTTTTCTTACTTTATTCTCTCCATTTACCTTTCTTGTGATCCTACTGGTCTCTGTGCTCACTGAAAACCAGTTAAACCAACAAGTACTGGAAAATGCAAGGTGAATTAGAAAATTTGAGATTAAATAAGGAATTCTTTTTTTAAATGTGTGGTCAGGAAAGGTATTTATGATCAGATTTATGATCCACCCCGTTGGCCCCTGTGTAGAACCGCCCATGGAAGTCAGGGTTGCAAAGCCCCCTTTATATATATATATATATATATATATATATATATATATATATATATATCTGAACATCACTAAATGAACCCGTTTTTAATCTCTATATAGAGTTTATAACAGAAATTATGTAAAAGAGCAAATAAAAAATTTTTTGTTTTTGTTTTTTTTTATATCTACAGGTGCTGGTCATAAAATTAGAATATCATGAAAAAGTAGATTGATTTCAGTAATTCCATTTAAAAAGTGAAACTTGTATATTATATTCATACATTACATACAAACTCATATATTTCAGATGTTTATTTTGTTTAATTTTGATGATTACAAATGACAACAAATGAAAATCTCAAATTCATCATATCAGAAAATTAGAATATTACTGAAGACCAATAAAAACAAAGGATTTATAGAAATGTTGGCCAACTGAAAAGTATGAACATGAAAAGTATGAGCATGTACAGCACTCAGTATTTAGTTGGGCCTCCTTTGGCCTGTATTACTGCAGCAATGCGGCGTGGCATGGAGTCGATCAGTCTGTGGCACTGCTCAGGTGTTATGATAGCCCAGGTTGCTCTAATAGTGGCTTTTAGCTCTTCTGAATTGTTGGGTCTGGTGTATTGCATCTTCTTCTTCACAATACCCCATAGATTTTCTATGGGGTTAAGGTCAGGAGAGTTTGCTGGCCAATTAAGAACAGGGATACCATGGTCCTTCAACCAGGTACTGGTAGCTTTGGCACTGTGTGCAGGTGCCAAGTCCTGTTGGAAAATGAAATCTGCATCTCCAAAAAGTTGGTCAGCTGCAGGAAGCATGAAGTGCTCTAAAACTTCCTGGTATGTGGCTGCGTTGACCCTGGACCTCAGAAAACACAATGGACCAACACCAGCAGATGACATGGCACCCCAAACCATCACTGACTGTGGAACCTTTACACTGGACTTCAAGCAACGTGGATGAAGTGCCTCTCTTCTTTTCCTCCAGACTCTGGGACCTTGATTTCCAAAGGAAATGCAAAATTTACTTTCATCAGAGAACATGACTTTGGACCACTCACCAGCAGTCCAGTCCTGTTTCTCTTTAGCCCAGGCAAGACGCTTCTGACGCTGTCTGTGGTTCAAGAGTGGCTTGACACAAGGAATGCGACAGCAGAAACCCATGTCTTTCATACGTCTGTGTGTGGTGGTTCTTGAAGCACTCACTCCAGCTGCAGTCCACTCTTTGTGAATCTCCCCCACATTTTTGAATGGGTTTTGTTTCACAATCCTCTCCAGGGTGCGGTTATCTCTCTTGCTTGTACACTTTTTTCGACCACATCTTTTCCTTCCCTTCGCCTCTCTATTAATGTGCTTGGACACTGAGCTCTGTGAACAGCCAGCCTCTTTAGCGATGACCTTTTGTGTCTTGCCCTCCTTGTGCAAGGTGTCGATGGTCGTCTTTTGGACAACTGTCAAGTCAGCAGTCTTCCCCATGATTGTGTAGCCTATAGAACTAGACTGAAAGACCATTTAAAGGCTTTTGCAGGTGGTTTGAGTTAATTAGCTGATTAGAGTGTGGCACCAGGGGCCATCAATTTTGAACCTTTTCACAATATTCTAATTTTCTGATATGATGAATTTGAGATTTTCATTTGTTGTCATTTGTAATCATCAAAATTAAACAAAATAAACATCTGAAATATATGAGTTTGTATGTAATGTATGAATATAATATACAAGTTTCACTTTTTAAATGGAATTACTGAAATCAATCTACTTTTTCATGATATTCTAATTTTATGACCAGCACCTGTAAGTGTCTGATATTTTAGCCTGCTTTATTAAAATAAAGCAGGCTAATGTCCCGCCGAGGAGGTGAGTCACAAGGAGGTCCGTCGGACAGGCAGGCAGGGATAAAGCGGAGAGGAACGGAGGCCAGTTTGGATGGGTCTGCCTGTCTGTCTGTGGGGGGTACAGACCGGGTGACCCCCCCATCCCAACCATGATTCACGTGGAGAGGCGGAGACTTCATATCGGATTCAGCAGGCAAGCAGGAGGACGGTCCTGTTCTCACCGCTCACTAGCAGCTACCGCACAAAAAAGCAACTAACTAACCTCCGAAGCAGAGCAAAGTTTCTTCTTTGTGTCCGCCTCGTTTACAATGTGAAAAATGGCCGGAGCAAGGTAAGGAAACCCATTCTATCATTTAATGCGACATTAAGTTTGAGGTAGAAAGTTTAGCTCGTTGGAAGTGCTCGCTATCATCCCGCTGGGCGCGAGCCTCGCTGGATAACTGGCTAAATTTAAATAAAATTCATTACAAACATTAAAATACTGGATATAAATGGTGTTAGAAGGTTGAATACTTGCGAAATATGCTACATTTCTTTTTATTTTATAAAAAAATATTCATAGCAGTTTTGTTGCTGAAATTTTAAAACCTGATAAAGTCGAGTTTTTTTATTTTGCTAGCAGTTAGCTTTAAAAAAAAACCTCATTAAGAGATGAACCAGCTCTAACACATCAGCAGCAGCTGTAGTGTGACTTGAAATGTGTCCTCTAAATGATTTCCCACCAGCAGCCACATCGTTTGGATTGGCTTTGATCTCGTCCAGTAATTTGCTGGACTAACTTTCTTCTTTGCTGTGGTTTAGGAGGCCAGTAAATGTTCCACAGTCTCCATTTGTTTCTCCAGATTTCACTGGTGGCTCCTGCAGTCTCAGCCATAAGGGCTCCTTTTCCACCATCTGCTTTCAGAGCAGATGTGCTTCAAAAGTTTGCTTCATTTCATCAGGTTTCTGTTTCCACAGTAGATCCACCAAAAGCTACTGACAAATGGAGGATGTCTTCTCCTCAGATGTTCTCCCTACTGTAGGATGAACTAATTATATCTGATAGTATTCTGTTATGCACGGAAGAGGATTAGGGCCAATGGAAAAAAATTTAAAAGTTAACTGATTTTTAAATTTTATTTCAGTATAATATGAGAAAAAAGTCAGAGTTCTGACTTTAATCTCACAATTCTGACTTTAATCTCACAATTCTGACTTTAATCTCACAATTCTGACTGAATTCTGACAGCTAACAAACATGTTAGCATCAAGTTGTAGCTATGTCTTTTTTAGAGACTAAACTAGCTCTCTTGTTTTAATCACCTTCTGCTCCTCAGTTAATTAAATAGCATCACCAGGGACCCCTCGGGCACGTAAAAAGTCGCCTAATTCCATCATTTTCCACCAATTTGTAACTGGCCCTCTCAAACAACTTGCATATTTGTCAGTGAAGCTGAGTGCTCCCATATCTCTTCCTTCACGGTGCCCATCTACATTAAGATCCAAAATTCTGAGATTAAAGTCAGAATTCTGACTTTTTTCCCATATTAAACTGAAATAATATTTAAAAATCAGTAAACTTTTTTTATTTTTCAGTGGCCCTAATCCTCTTCCATAGTTATGCGACTCACTAAGCTTTCTTTTTTTCTGTATTACAGATATTTTTTAGATTAAAACAGGTTTATTTTTTTGTCTGGGTTTGCTCTGCCTACTGCTTTTGACTTGCTTCTATTTTCTTTACTAGAAAAATACAATCCCACTGCATGATGCTGCCACTGCCATACGTGATTAGGGGAATCAAAGATATGCTAAGTGTTAAATTCCCTGTGTGTTTTCAGGCCAAACTGTGTACATTTAGGCTGATTTACCAGAACACCTGTTCTTGTGATAGACAAGAACGGGATTTCTTCTTGATTTCTCTTCTTTTTTTATTTCCATGCTTTTATGAAGATTTTTAGACTGCAGGATTAGTTGGTTTCCTGTGAACAGGTTCCCCGTCCTGATCTAAGGATCTCTGCATGAACATCCTGTTATAAATTCACTGGCATATCGGTTTAGAGCTATATCTGGCCAGGTTACCAGCTGTGTCCTTTTTTATTTTCAGGTGATGGATTGAAGGATGTTTATTGTTTTATAATCTCACTCTGCTTTAAAAACCTCTCCACTGTTTAGTTCTGGTTCGGTCTGCAGTGTGCTTTACGCTGCGTTCAAGTTTTACTCTGTAGGAGGAATTTCCGATCTTTGAGTTCAAAATTTCAACTGAAAGTCCGAATAACGTGTCATAAGGTTGGGGCTTCCTACTTCCAAATGGATTCTCCTCACATCCACAGAAGCTGAAAATATTTACTTCTTTTTTGTCTTAGCTGTTCTGGGATTACTTTTTTTTAATGGATCTAACATTTATTCAGTTATTCACATCACTTTTAAGTGATAGCTCAGAATATTGTCATGGTTGCAGTAGTGCTGTTTTTTTCTTCTTTTTTTACTCTGCTAATGTAGGCTAACTACACACATGTGGATTTAAATTATTAGATAAGTGATGAGCTATGCAGGATTTTATTTAGCCTGTCATAGTAAAACAGACTCTATACAAACACGCGCTTCATTTTCAGGTTGCTGTTTTTTTTGTTGCTTTTTTTTAGTTATAAAAAACATTTAACAAATGTCTTTTCTTTTCCTTTCTCTTCTCAATAATGCACCACTTTTTGTGTGTCTTGCATGTAAAAACTCCCTGATGTACGGAAAAATTCGAAGGTCTCTGAATACCTTTTTTTATGCCTGTTGTATACGTATTCACTGGGTATTGTTATGGTTCAATTGATGGATCTGTGGTGACGAGAGTGGTTTATCTGTTTTATTCCTGCTCCTACATGTGTACCAAGTGGTAACTTTATATGCCGTCAGACCACATGTTGACATCTGTTCCACATACAAAATCTGAAAAAGCGGAGCTATTGATGTTGTTTACATAGCCCGAAGCTGTTGGTTTGGCACAGCGTGCCAATATGGCTTCTTGGGTGCAGCAGGTCACACCGCCCCCAACTTCTACTCCTGCCTACCTCTTGATTCCTAGTGACACCCGCCTGGTGCTGCTCTTCAAAAGTTCTTCTCTCCATAACATAACTCTGATCCGTGTCTTGTTGTTACCGCATAAAGAATTAAATAATTTCTTTCTTTTACCAGCTTGTTGATATGAATGGCTGGGATCACAATAGGCCGTTAGCTTGTGTTTATCCTGATGGGTCGCTGCAGCAGTTCCACACAAAGCGGGGGGTGAGTTGATTTACACACCCCTTACACTCCGGGCAAAACGAATCCAAATTGAGTCAAAGACAAGCCCGGACATTTCTCCTGAGATTTTGACTGCTGTGTAGACATTTTAGAAGTATTTTTTTTTACTACGATTGGGCCTCTAAAACACTTGGACATATCAGAGATGTCACCAGGATTTAATGTTTTTTGCTGGATGTACTGTAATCCTGTTAAGATCCACAGATCAGCACTGTTGAACCCAACACGCCTCCCTAATTTCACTCTGTTTCTCTGGGACTCTGTAATGAGGTTAAGGTGATTCAGTCAAACATGTTTATCTTCACCTGTTTCCCCCTTTTCCTCTCTGGTAATCCGGATGGGTTCTCTCACCTGCCTACAGTTTCCCCAAGGCTAAAGTGGAAAGTGCTGATCATCACTCAGCAGCATTAAAGAGGATCATAACTTGCTGTACATGTCAATAGACCTCTGAATAAGTGAGTCATGTTTTTGAAATAGTTCAGCCTTTTCTTATAATGTCAGCAGGCTGTCGGGAAACTAAAGTTAATGACTTGATTCATTCATGATGTGAATAAAATTGAGTAAAAGCAATGCCAGATCTTGAAGTTCTGTCATTTGGAAAATATTAATCTCTCCCTACATGCTGATCCCCTACGATGGCCTCCTAAATCCTCTTCTCCCATGGGGCAAACTGAGCGCTAACATCTTCACCAGACTGCTCTGGGTTTCTAATCCAGGAGGCTCTGTGTCTTCACTTCCTCCTGAGGAGGACAGTACTAACGGATGTATGTATCCTGCCTGGCTCCTCATCTGCCCACTGACCCCTGCTTTTACCTCGCAACGCTGCGCCCTCATTACACTGTGGTGTCGTTTGTCACGTCATCTGAAAAACGATGTTTAAAAACTGCTGCTGGGGGAAAAACAAGCAGGTCAAGAGTTGATCAAAACTGAGGCTGAATGCTTGGATATGGTTATTGAAATGTCTAGGAATGTAGCCCTGATTTATTTAGCAAGAAAAGGTTTGTAGATTGAAGCTCTTAATGTTTAAACTGGATTACTTATATTTTCTAAGGACAAAAAACAGAATTGGATTTATCTGGTGTGAACAAGGGACCCCATTGTTCGCTTTGTGACAGCTGGTGTACCGGACAGAGATGGAGGTCTGTCTGTGGTAAACAATCTCAACCCATCCTCTGCCTCTTCCTGCTAACGTTTTACTCCAGAGTCATATCTGAACCCACACGTCTAAATATGTTGCTCAGCTAACAGAAAGTGTTGCAATTTAGTAATGATTATAAATGAAGCCAAGCAATCCTAAACAGGAGGGAGGGTGGGGGTTCCTGAATCTCTGGTGGGAGAATCCAGGATGACGGACATGAGAAATGTCTCCTCTGTTAGTCTGGAGGCTGATGCTTTGGGTGTCTGAAGTAACTTTGAAGTGCAGGAGCTGTTGAGGGGTTTAGGTGCTTTTATCTCACAGCTCATGGAGAATCATTTAGCTACAGACGCTTTGGCAGCTCCTGGAGGTGAATTCACTCAGGCCATGTAAAATCGCCTTTTGGAAAGGAGTCTGGGAAACACTGGTTCTAAGGTGGCTCAGTGACCCTGTGGGATCCAGTCTAACTCTGTGCCAAACGAGAAGTGGAAACCATCTTTTGTTTTGGATTTGGGCAGCTGGTGTTGGAGGTCACCCCAGACCTATCCTACATAGGGTTGGGAATTGAAAAGATTTTCACGATTCCGATTCCCTTTTCGATTCTATGAAACGATTCGATTCTTTATCGATTCTTTTCTCGATTCCAATTTGGGGGAAAAAGGAGAACAAACAGTTTGATTATCAGAATCAACTTTGTTTACTTAACTATTGCACAATCTTACAAAATCAACAAGATCAAGATGTCCACAGGAAATGTGAAACTGGAGTAACATCTGTGTTTAAATGAAAAATGAATACAAGAACAAACTTAATAACAAACAATGTCTAATAACAAATGATGGGATTATAACCTATTTTAAATAACAAAAAGTACTAATTATAAAACAGTAGTAGGGAAAATTAACAGTTCTTTTGCAGAAAGATGA